TGGCAGCAGTCGAATTAAAGAGAATATTGTTTATTCCCGTTTAGGTTTGGCACCCAATTTTCAGTTTTAACGCAAGCAAAAGCAGCGGCAAGCCTCAAACGATCATCCGGGCATTAATTAACAGGGGAATGTAAAGCTGCGGGGAAACTAAACGCAGGGGAACGGCCGGCGCTAGCGAGAGCGAGTTCGAAAAGTCGAGCTAGGCAGAGGCGCTCCAAAGAGCGGGACAGACTCCAGCGTGGAGCAGCAGCGCGCGGTATAGGCTAAGCCCATTTCGAGGTTTCTGAGGGGAAAATAACGTTAACAATTTAGTAATCCACCAGAATAATTAAAGGAAAAGCGAGTGATGCGTGAAAGGTGTGGAAGTAGAAACCCATTTAGAGTGAAAAAAGAGGAAAAGAAAATAACCTAAAAAAATAAATAAATCAAGGCAACATGGCCTGTGGTAGGAGGAACTCCCTAGTGCAGGTTATCTCCTCTCATGCCTTCAGATGGTGGATCAAAATAATTAATTAGTGGCAACCATAAAAGAAAACAAAATTTATACAGAGAAAAAAAAAGAAAATTTATAAAAAAAAAAAAATGAAATAGTGAATTCAGTGAAAATCATTTAACAAATCGCTAACCTTCCAAACAAACAGCAGGCATCGTGAAAGCACTTTCGCCGATGGACCGCAACAGAGTGAGTAAGATTTAAATAGGGCCTATAATTTTTCTAATCGGTTTCACCGATGTGAATCTATTTCATTTATACCAAATTTTAGTAGAAGCATAAGTTTACATAGGTCAATGACCATATAAGGGAACGAGCCCAGAGCTTGGTTTTTGAAGAGAGCGATCAGCTGTTGTACAGCATGGCGGGGAAACAAAGAGAATTTTGAAGAAGGGGAATTAAATGAAACGTTTGAATAGACAGAATATTTCTGGGGGAATTATTGTAGTTATAAATGTTTAGAGCTAATATTTTAGTATTTAAATCTAAATTTTACTTTTAATAAATCAATTTTATAATGTTTAGATAAAAAAAATATCTTATGATCTCCGATACCCAGCCCCTGTAGTTTTCGGCCTTGATAAAGGGGTCATAGTGATTTGATAGCACTGGAAAAATATGACCTAGGAAGGGTGGGCGTGTTCCTCCATACCATCTGAGGAAGAGTACGTTCGTTTGTGTTACGTGTGGGTATAAATAGAGTCTATCGGGCATCAGCTTTGTTTTCTCTCCGGTTCTGTAAATGTCTATGTTTATGGCTTTAAATGTTTTCGCACGCTCTTAAATTATATATATATACGCGTAGGTCTCAGAATTGACAAGAAAAGAATACCATCCTTTTGCCGACGAGACAGTAGCCGGAATAATAGCGTGCTGGTCAATCTCTGGGTAAAACATCTATCCTACAAATCGTTATCCATTACAAAAATGATTATAAAAGAATAATTATATATAAGTGGCGCCCAACGTGGGGCCACAACGTATTTGTTTTACATAAATGAAAACGAAAGTGGCTCACTTTACATTGCTGATGGCCAACTACTATCTTCTTTCCTTATTTCACGATAAATTTTAAAGATCAGTAAAGTCATTTGTTGTCTTTTGTGCACTGTTTAGTGTCATCAAAGCGGCTTGATGATTTACTTTTAATTTCCGCTAAATTTCATTCCCTATTCAAGCTTAGGATAGCAGGGGGAGTCCTCTGAGAGACTCTTACCTGACCATGACTGATGTGGGCTCGAATGAACTATCTATTTTCCAGTGAGTTTTATGCAACTATGATCAGGTGATTCGGATCACAGCGGACTTGGCTCCCAAGAGCTAGGTGCTATCTATCGTAAGTAGCTATTATATAGGCACTCAACTATAGGACAGTGTTGGGAATACAATACAGAGAAGGAATTTAAACATAATAGTAAAAAAAGGTTTAAGGTCAACGAGATCCTTTTACAGGTAAATGCTTTGGAAAAAAACTACCTCTAAACTATCACATCAGATATAGTTCAAGGAGATGAAAAACCTGTTTGACAGTGTTTTCGAAGAGCCTGAGTGAGAGGAAGGATCAAAGGGTAGAACTCGGAGGGAGAATGTAAGGATTGATTTTGATTTGTCACAATTTTCAGGTAAAAAAAAATCGATATTGATTTTACAGAATTTCCAGAGGAGAAAAGAACTTAGTTCACATTTTCACCAATAGGTGGCGCCACCAAGTAGTAATGAAATGGTCCCTTCTACGTGTTGCGAGTAAATCCTAAATTCGCAACATGTTGCTTAAGGATGTGAAACATGATATTTGATTCAACAACCCTATTTTCAGCAACATGTGGTTTTCAAATAAATGGTTTCAGTTTCTGATATTTACCATGATCATGTTCAAAATAAATATTTTTTCATATTGTTTTGGGAAAATAAATGGTTTCAGTTTCTGATATTTACCATGATCATGTTGAAATAAAATAATTTATAAAAATATATATGGTTTTAGTTTCAGATATTTACCATAATCATATCCTTCAAGAGTAGAGTTACCTATATTTATATATAGGATGTGCAATCAATGAATAAAAGTATAAGATGAATGCAAAGAGAACTTTTTATAGTAAATATACGAAGAAGGTCCCTTTTCATTACTACTTGGTGGCGCCACCTATCGGTGAAAATGTGAACTAAGTTCTTTTCTCCTCTGGAAATTCTGTAAAATCAATATCGATTTTTTTTTTACCTGAAAATTGTGACAAATCAAAATCAATCCTTACATTCTCCCTCCCGAGTTCTACCCTTTGATCCTTCCTCTCACTCAGGCTCTTCGAAAACACTGTCAAACAGGTTTTTCATCTCCTTGAACTATATCTGATGTGATAGTTTAGAGGTAGTTTTTTTCCAAAGATTTACCTGTAAAAGGATCTCGTTGACCTTAAACCTTTTTTTACTATTATGTTTAAATTCCTTCTCTGTATTGTATTCCCAACACTGTCCTATAGTTGAGTGCCTATATAATAGCTACTCACAGCTATAAGCTATTACAGAAACTAGTAAACTGTATACAAAGATGGATAACCTAGAGGTCATTTTTATTGAGTCGCAACCGGAGGAAACCATAAATCTGGATTCTCAGCCAGACTCCGTGGACCTGTCACTGATTTTTAGAATTAAAACCCAAAATTATCTCGAGAGGAATTGGAATCCTATTAATGAGATTAAATGGGATGATGATAGTGAGGATGATGACCTCATGATATCATCACAATACATTTTTGAGGAATATGTCGGTGAGGACTCCATGACTGAAACGCCATTCGTTTTTCCGGATGATGATCATATTTTCGATTTGGTCGATGATCAAGACTGCGGTGAAAGGGATCGACTCAGGGATCTACTTCGGGATGAAGATGACGCTGAGTTAATAGCGGCGTTGGAAAGAACTGAGGCTGGATTTAAATAAGGCGAGAAAGCATATGTATAATAAAAATTTTCGATGTATTTTTCTAATCATAATATTATATACATACATACATAGGTATAATAAATAGAATACTACATTTAAGAAATTTATTTTCAATGTTTCCTTACTTCTGATTGGGTGAATTTCACTTCCTACTATTACATGTTACATCCCCCAGAGAATCATAGGATTCGTTTGAAACAGGTTTTCCAAGCGAGGATTACACAAAAGAATAAGTGCATTTCAGGTATAGGTACCTGGTATTGAATGTATTTATTGGTTGAATTTCACATCCTATTATTACATAGTCAGCAGAAGAAATCGTTTTGAAACCGGTTTTAAACGAGTACTGAACCTGTTGAATACAAAAGACTGAGGAGGCGTTAGGCAGATAAATAGAACGCTTTTTATGAAAAACTCTTAGTTCTCTTCTAATAGTGAAAGTGATCAAACAAAATATAAAAATTTCAAAATGAATCCCGAAATCGCGTGCACTATGTGTTCAGAGTTTGTTAAATTAACAGAGTTCGCCTCTCACTACGACAGTTGCGTAGGACCGCGGATTCCGATTGAGTGCAATCTATGCTATAAATCCTTAGAGGGAACAGAGATCGACTCTCATTATGAGAGTTGCTTTAGGTCCCCCAGAAAAAAGTTGAGTGCGATCTATGTTTGAATTTCCTCGACTTAGCAGAGCTAGACTCTCATTATGAGGTATGTTCTGCTCAAAGAAATGCTTTCAACGTGCTAATGAGGAAATCTTCTTCGACAACTGACCTCCGAGAACAGTCAACTTCAAGATCTTCAAAACGGCCTAGAATGAATGCACCAGCGGAAAACATTGACTGTGCAATATGCGGTGAGAGTTACACTCCCTCGAAGGAAAAGCGCCATATTATGTCTGAAAAGCATAAGAATGCCGCTGCAGACCAAATACATAACAATCCTAATATTATCAACCTGGCATCAAACTCGAAATTTCCCATAAAATCATATCGGGTTCAATCCAGTAAAAGTAATCGGATTGACTTAAAAGATTTTTATAATGATTGTAAAAATGATATAATCAATTTACTTAATTGTTGTTTGAGCGAGTACAGAGCCGTAAAGTTCAATTTAAAAGTATATGGTCTGTATGTCAAGCAAACTGATGATGAAACCTTGACAGAAACAATGAAGCATTTCATAACTTCATACAAACCCATATATGAGCAAGAGTTCATTGATGAACACTTAAATAACGCTCTGGAAAACCTTATAACTTTAAGCAGCGAATTCCAGGAGAAGGATTCAGGTTGGGCTATAAAAAATTTTAAATATTTTGAGTTAACAATAATTAAACTGGAACACATCCCTGCAAGGGGGTATATAGAAGCTCCTAAAAAAATAAAATCACGAAATGCTATCATCAATGTTAAAAATGTAGATGATTTTTGTTTCAAGTGGTGTATTTTAGCATCATTAGCATATAAAAGACATGCAGAAACTACATTTACAAGATCAGTTGAAAAAAGGTTGGCTCGAGAACAAATTAGCAATCCCATCAAGCTATCGCATTTTAAACATAAACCAGGAAATAATTCATTATAACGGTTTTAGACTCGATTTTTCTGAGATTGAGTTTCCAATAACAAGCAAAGGAATAAAGCGATTCGAAAAAGCCAATGAGGATTTCAGCATCAATATATATGAAATTGATGATAATGGTAAAAACGTTGTGGGACCCACAGTGAGGACTAATAAAATTCGTCCTAATCATATAAACTTGCTAGGCATCAATAGTGATATGCAAATGATGCATTATGCCTATATAACGTGCATGAAGAAGTTATGCTATTCCCAACATAGTAAATCTCATAGTGCAGCATATTTTTGCGATAACTGTTTGCAATTTTATAGTACTACAAATACTATTCACGACACTAAGGAGTGTGGAAAAGTTGCGGCTCTATATCCAGAACCCAATACTAAAACCATATTTAAAAGTTGGTCGAAAAAACTTTCACCCCCAGTCGTAATTTATGCTGACATCGAAGCTGTTTTGGAAAATTTCCATAGAAATCTTAATGATCCCTCCAAATCATCGACTACTATGGCGCAGAGGCATACAGCATGTGCAGTTTCATTTTATGTTGCACATAAATACAATCCTCATCTAAATGAGATGTGGACATATGAAGGTAAATATTATAAAATAAATAAATAAATATAAATAAACTCTAAGCATTACGACTTCGTTATTTCAGGACCTGATTGTATTGAAAAATTCTGTCAAGTGCTTAGGGCTAAAACTGATGGCCTTTATGAGAAGTACTGGAAATCTAGTAAAAAGCCCATATATGAATTCAATATTTGGGATGAAGACTGTCAGGAACACGAAGCGTGCTGTGCCTGCGATGAGCAAATTTTGGTTGATGATCGTGAAAAATACTTCAATCAATTCACGGGCCAATATGTAGGGCCTATTCATAAGGTCTGTAAGCAAACATTTAGATTAAGCGATCCCTTTTTCCCTGTAGTGTGTCACAACTTGTCTCGATATGACATCCACTTATTTGTAACATCGATAAGAGATGAATTGAAACCCATTCCTTGCAATAAAGAGTTATATATTGCGTTAACTCAAACTTGCAAGCTTGATTCACATCTTCATCAATATAAAATAAGATACATAGATTCAAATAGATTTTTAAATTCGAGCTTAGAAAAACTTGCTAGCTATATGGATGTATCCAATTTCAAAATATTGAACAGCAAATATCAAAACGAAAAATTTGACATGCTACGAAGAAAAGGAGTATTTCCCTATGACTATTTAGATAGTTTTCAAAAATTTGAGGAATCCCAGCTCCCTTCAAGGGAATATTTTTATAATTCTCTGAATGATGAGGAATGTAGCGTGGAAGATTATAACTTTGCTCAGAGCGTGTGGAGAATGTTTAACTGTACTAGTATTAGAGATTACTTAAAATTATACTTGGAAAGCGATGTTCTAATTCTTGCCGATGTATTCGAAAATTTTAGAACTCTTTGTTCACGAGTATACAGACTAGATCCCATTAATTATGTTACTGCTCCTTCAGTTTCATGGGATGCAATGCTTAAATACACAAAGATAGAATTGGAACTTATAAGTGATCCTGATATTTATAACTTTTTAAAAACTGCAGTCCGGGGAGGGTTGACTCAATGTACCCAAAGGATCGCTACAGCAAATAACAAATACTTAAATGACAAATTCAAGTCTAGCGATCCTATAAACTACCTGACATATATTGACGCCAACAATTTATATGGATGGGCTATGAGTCAACCACTTCCATATTCCAATTTTAAATTTCTAAGTAATAATGAAATTTTATCTTTCAACGCTCTTAATATATCAGCCAGAGGTAATATAGGATAGTAGAAAAAATATCTCGAATACTATCTTTTAAACAGTCCTGTTGGTTAAAGCCTTATATTGACCTAAATACAACACTAAGAAAATTAGCTGTAAATGAGTTTGAGATAAACTTTTTTAAATTAATGGTCAATGCCGTATACGGCAAAACGATGGAAAATGTAGAAAAGCGTCGTGAGGTTGCATTAGTCAAAAATTATGAATCCAGACAGAATTCCGCAGGTTTAGACAACGCATAGCTAGACATAATTTTCACAGTGTTGAAGTCTTTGGAGATAATTTAGCTGCAATTGAATCAACTAAATCAAAAATTTATTATGATAAACCCATATACATTGGAGTTAGTGTATTAGAACTTTCAAAATGGTTAATGTACGACTATTTCTATAATTTCCATTCTGTAAAATGTCCATCATCAAAAATACTTTATATGGATACAGATTCATTTATTATATCATCAGAAGAAGATTTTTATGAACTAATTAAAGACAATCCTAGTCGCTTTGACACATCAAACTATCAAACCTCAAACAGATTCGGTATACATCGTGCTAATAACAAGGAACTAGGTTTAATGAAAGACGAAAATGCAGGTCGGATAATGACCTCTTTTGCAGGATTAAAAGCAAAAGCATACTCATATTTAGTTGCAAAAGATGATAGCTCTGACTTTGATAACGTAAAAAAGGTTAAAGGAGTCAAAAAGTCAGTAGTGAAAAGATTATCGCATGATCATTATATTGAATGCATTAAACATAAAAAAACTTATTATGGTCAGCAGAGAGTTATTCGAAGTAGAGGTCATAAAATATATACTGAAATTGTAAATAAGATAAGTCTTAATTATAAGGATGACAAGAGATTTATATTGCCTGATAATATTTCAACATTAGCTCATAATCACTTTGAAATTCAAAATATTTTATATTCTAGTAATGATACACAAAATATTGTATAAGTAATCTGAATTGAATATATTTAGATTTAGTATAAAAATATGATAAGTAATTGTATATTTTGTATAACTTTTAATGAAAAATGTATGTATATAAAAAATAAAAAAAACAACATCAAAAATTGTTTGATGTTTAATTATTTTAATAAATTCTTTTTATCTATCCATGAATTGTGTGTTTCATCAAACCCTAACCATTTAACAAAAACTTTATCATGTTTTCTTCGGATTATTTTTTCAACTAAGAAAGCATTTTCATCTTTCACTTTTTGGAGTTCTTGATCATAAAAGGAGCCTTTGATCATTTCCCCCTTATAGTCCTCCAGTTCATATGTTACAGGATTGGTAGACTTGACTTTTAAAATTTTAAAAACTTCGGTTGTCCAGTTTGGTTCATATCCCTTCGTAAAAATACCTTTATATTTACTTATTCTAACAGGATCACCAATGGAAAACTTATTTTTGGGGAATACCTTGCAAATATTATAAACTGTTTTTAAAATAAACTCTTCATTTTGCTTGTCTACATCTATAGGACTCATTTTTATGGTTCTGTGATATGAATTATTATAATCATTTACTAAGTCCTGCAAGGCATGAATCCATACATGATTACCCTGCATACTAAACATTTTCCACATACGATTTTTTAATGTTCTATTAAAACGTTCACAAATAGATGCCTTGAGGTGTGTATATGTATGGTAATGGTTTATGTTGTTTATTCGCATTAACTCTCCAAAGGATCTATTGAAAAACTCCTTTCCTTGATCGGATTGAATATTTTTAGGGATATGTTTAGATATATTAAATATTCTCTTCATTGCTGATGACACATCTGAAGCTGTTTTAGACTTAACGGGAGCTGCATATGAAAACTTCGAGAACGTATCAATCACTGTTATCAAATATCTAAATCCTTTATTTTCCTTATAAAAGGGGATCATTTCAACTAAGTCTATTTGCCACGTGTCATTAATGCCCTTTTGAACGAATTTGCGACGAGTAAAGTTTTTTCTAGCAGGCTTATGTATTTCATTAACAACTTGCTGCTTACTCATTTTTATTAATTTTTACTTTTAATATTATTGTTGATTGATTGCTTATTTAATAGTGTTTGCTTATACTCGAGAACATCGCGTTTTATTTGATTACACATTTTTTTGGAAATTTCGAAACATAACCGGGTTAAATCTATTTCAACATTTCTATCATAAGTTCCGTCTAAATCAGATAGTTGAACATCAAATTTTTGCAATTCTGCACACTTAGGAATAATGTTATTATAGTAAAGAAATGTAATTTGTTGTTTAAGTATCGTATTCCAACATAAAAATGTAGTAAAAAAAATGCCTAATCTTAAAAATGATCTCCAGGACTCACTATCAAATTCAATTTTATTTCCAAACTGATTTATTATAAAAACATACTGCTTATCGGATTTTCGAAATCTAAAATTACATTTTATAGTACCTAATAATGGATGGTCTATAATTGTATCAGGCATCAAGAAATCATACTGATCAAGTTTTAATTGAATATACTCCTTGTATGTAACCAATTTCATCCATTCATCTTTATCTAATCCAACGAAATTGTTTTTGCTTTGCTGCATCCAGATCATGGGAGTGAATTTTCTTGAAGTTGAAAACCCACACTTTAACTTTAAATTATGTATTACATAATATTCGAGTCCGAATATGACTTCGTGATCCTGCTTCTTTCTAGTAGACCTAATTCTTTTTGATTGAAGCGTGTCCATTAGAGTTGAATGCTTTTTTTAAACTGAGAACTATTACTGAAATGAGCTGTATATAAAGGAGAAAGCTATCACCGACTCATTTAGTTTATTACAAAATCTCAAGCCAACATGAACACAATCGACAGGAAATCAAGCGTTATTGTTGATTTTCAATATCTCTTTGGAAATAACAAACAAATTTTTATTAAGGAATTAGCGTTTATGCAAACCGGTACAGTAACTCCAAACTTCTTTCATTTCAAACCACCATACAACCTAAATGAATTGGATAATGAAATGATTAAACAACAAAACATACATCATCACACCATAAATGGATTGGAATGGTCAGACGGTGAAATATCATATTTAAGTTTAGGTGAAATACTTTCACCACTAAACAGATTTAACACTGTCATTGTAAGAGGTGAAATTAAAAAAAAGTTTTTATCAAAGTATTTAAAAAATAACATTATTGATATCGATATTGGAAAAAGTCTGACCTTATATCCAAATTTTTTTACCAACTGTAGAATTCACAAAAAAATGCCTCTTAGATGTGCTCTAAATAATTTATTTAAGCTTTTTGTTATCTTGGAAAATTCAAATTATAATGTATACTGTAATGGTGATTCATATGTATAGAATTTCAGTATGTATTAAGCATTGGAATTAACTAGTTGATTAAAATGGATACATTTAAGCGTTTGTTTGAAAATGATCCACGCAAAAAAGGATACTCCCAAGTTGTTTATTGTAATTATTGCGGATCTGATACTCATTTTGAAAAAAACTGTCACAAAAAACGCGATCAGGAGAAACCTAATTAAATTATAGAAAACATTTATAAATGATTAATAAATAAAAATTACTAAAAAATGTTTAAACAATTTATACATCCTTTTACAATGCTAATTTGTGGTCCTTCAGGGTCTGGAAAGACAACGTTTTTAGAAAATTTAATAAACAAAAGGAATGAAATGCTAAGTATTTCAATTGATCGAATACTGTGGTGTTATGGTGAGGAACACGCTAAACCAAATTTCAATAACATCGAATACTATAAAGGAATTCCTGAAACAATTGAAAATGAAGCTAATGAACCCATTCTTTTAATATTAGATGACATGATGATGGGTGCATTTAATAAAAATGTATGCGAGCTTTTCACGAGAGGATCTCACCACAGGAACTTATCTGTAATAGTAGTTACACAAAACATATTTCATAAATCATCACATACGCGAGATATTTCTCTAAACACAAAATACATCGTTGCATTCAAAAACCCCAGAGATAAACTGCAATTTCAATGCTTGGCAAGACAAATTTATCCTGAGAACTCTCAGGAACTATTTAGAATATATAAGGAGGTTACAGATGAGCCACATGGTTATTTACTTATTGACCTTACTCAGGGAATAAATGATCTCTTGAGATTTCGAACAGATATTTTTAATTCTGTGTACACAATTTGCTTTGCTGATGAAAATGGTTTACAAAAAGAATCTAAATCGATTGAAAGCGAACAAACATTTATTGTATGTGCTCAAAAGGGCTAACCACAAACTTCGAAATGCAATTATAAGTAATTGTGATATTGAGTCGGTGAAAGCATTAGTGGAAATAGTATTGAACACATTACAAGGAAATCATAAGATATCAAAATCTCAACTATATGCTCTCAAAAAGTATAAAAATGCATTACGTTATATTTCATGTCCAAAACGTTCAATCAATTCCAAGAGAAAAGTTCTCATCCAAAAGGGAGGATTTTTACCAATTCTAATCAGTTCATTGCTTTCGGGGATTTTTGGAAAAATATTAAGCAATGTTTAGAAATACGCATCAATTAAGCAAAGTAATTTTAATGCGTCCGAATGCTTATCAAAAACTAATAAAAGGTGAAAATGAAAACGATTTAATAAATATAACATTTTTACCTATTTTAAATGATAAGAAAACTAGTGACTATAATAAATGGATTAAAATACGTCAAGAATTGTGTTACTATCAAAATAAAAAAAGAAATAAGACAATGGATGTACGACCTAGTCTGAAAACATCACATCCATCATCTAAAACCATTGGAACACAAACACAAGACGACTCAGTCGGGTTTGATGTAATGCCCACAACTGATATTCTTTACAATAAAAATAATGTTAACCCAAAAAAGGATTTCTCAATAGATAATGAGTCACATGATTTACCTAATCTCAGCGACGATGATGATTTAAAGCCTGAAAAAACTTTTAAGTCAACGCATAAAAAACGTAAAGTAAAGGACACTTCATTTTTAGAAAC